AAAAAAATATTTTAAAAAACTTTTTTTTATTTAATAAAAAAACAAATATACTTTTTAAAAAAATAGTTTTTCTAATAAAAAATAGTTACACTAATTATCATCGTCATCGGATACAATTTTTTGTTTTCTTGGTTTTTTTGTTGGAGGCTCTTCGTTTAATGAAACCGCTATTTGATTCATTACTGCATTTGCATTTTTTAGTTTTTCGTCAATAATGACACACTCCATCTCAGTCGAGTTGGCGGTTTCATAATCAAAATGATAGAAATGCATCTGCTCAAGATTTCTTGTCATTATATTTAAATAGTCCTCGCTTGTTTTCAATTGTACACCTTTTAGTACAAAGTACTCATCATAAACTTCATTTTGATATTTGCGCAGTTCCAACAAAAATAAACTAATGTTTTTAGCATTTACTTTTTTTTTCAAATCCATGCGAAAAAATTGATCTCTTACCACAAAAACCGTTTTTCCTTTTTTATTAACGCGAGTCACGTTAGGATAATGTGCACGTAAAAAAAACTGTCCCACCAGTGAATTGTTTATCAGTTTAATTTGACTAGGATTAACCAATATGCGCTTGTTGAAGTCGCTGTTATCACAAAATATCCATGTCTTTTTCATCTGGTCATACTGACATACAAGACGCACTGTTGCTAAAAAATAAGTGGACATGTTCTTAAAGTCGACATCTGAAAACTGATAAATACCAGGAGCATAGCAATCGCTCGTAATAAATTTCGCTGTCTTTCCAGTCAGCTCAAAGCCTTGTATTTTTTTGTTTTCCATTTTTTTTGAACACCTCTGAGTTTTTTGCTTCAAATGTTTTTTTTGATTTTTTATTGCCAAAAGTGACCCTTTTTATAGGTTTTTTTTAAATCAATAACGCCAATTTTTTTGTCAACATCAATTTTTAAAACCATATTATCTCTCAGTCGTTTTTAAAAAAATTAATTCATTTTGTAACATAACTCCTATGTCAGTTGACTATTTTGCGTCAGTTGAATATTTTTGACTATTTTTATTTCGAAATTATAGTCTCAACACTTGACTTTCATTTTCATAATTCTTATTAATCTCGCCGTTTTTTTCTCTACGAAAATATTATCACACAGTCGTCAGATGACTATCATTAATTTTTTTCTACTTTCATCTTTACGACATCCATATTTTAAAAATGTAAAAGTTTGCCAATTTTTTTTTCTCATAACAGCGACTTTTTGCTTATATAAACATTTTTATTTAACTTGCAAAAGTAAACATGAAAACGAAAATTGTTGCGGCTTGTGTTTTCTTAAACATTATTTTATTTGCTCGTCTTCTTAAGTATTTACGTCATTGGTTCGTATAAAAACAACACAATTTTTAAAAAAAAAACAAAGGGGGTAAAAATGAACGAAGATCAAGAAAAAGCTTATGTTGCACTGTTAAACAACCAAAATGTTTTTCTAACAGAAAAGGCTGGCACAGGAAAATCATTTACAATCAATATCATCTACGAACGTTTTATAAAATCAAAAAAAAACATATGTATAGCGGCAAGTACGGCTATCGCTGCGCAAATGTATTCCGATGCAAGCACTGTTCACTCGTTTGCTGGCCTCGGCTATCGTCTAGAATCCGTGGAAACCATTTTGAAAAATATGACTGACGTCGTAAAAGAACGTTTAAAAAATGTTCAAATTTTGGTTATAGACGAAATATCAATGTTACCAGTACACGTGCTAAAAACATTAAATATGATTTTAAAAAACATTAAAAAATCACATCGTCTATTTGGAGGATGCGTGTTGCTCGTTGCCGGAGATTTTTACCAGCTGACGCCTGTTGGCGAAGAAACATTGTTATTCGAAGACTCTTTCTGGAAAGAATGCGAATTTGTTAATGTAGAACTTGTGAAAAACTTTAGACAAAACAAAGACCTCACCTTTCAAACGCATTTGAACAACGTGCGTGAGGGCATCTTTTGCGAATCCACCTTGACTTTTTTTAGGAAAAGGCTAGAACCTGCCGATAAACATTTAGATCCGAGTTCGAATTGCACACAACGAATCCGAGATCGAATTGCACACAACGAGGAATATTTAAAAAAAACAAATTCACCATATTTTATATTTAACAGTGAAATAAAAACATTTAACAACTTTAAAATCAACGAAAAATGGCCATTTAAAACGCCTCAAAATGTAACTTTAAAAAAAGGAGTACCAGTTATTTGTGTTCGCAATATATCCGAGCTTGGTATTGTCAACGGCACGCAAGGCTTTGTAAAGTCAGTGAACCTAGAGCGAGTTGTCATTATGGTAGATGAACAACGAATTGTAATCACGCCTCAAACAGAAATTCTGTACGACTGTAAAAGAAATGTAATAGCCGAATGCAAAGGAATGCCGTTTGTGTTAGCCTATGCGCTCACTATTCACAAAATACAAGATCTCACTCTTTCTAATTCATTTAACGAGAAGTCAATTTATGTGGCATTTGTTTTATGTGGCTTTGTCGAGAGCGCAAACACGCAAGAGTCTTTTTTTCAAACTTTTTAAAAAAATATTAACATACATTCAGCTGTAAAAAGTTTTTATTCAAATTTAATTAAACCTGAAAAAAATGATTATAAAAAACGTATTAAATTACAAATGTGAAAAAAACGTATTAAATTACAAATATGTGATTTGTTTGTTTATAAAAAAAGTGTATTTAGATTTTTTTTTAAAAATGTAAATTGATATCATAAAAAAATGTTTATTCTTTTTTTTATAAAATAAAAAAAAACATTACATGTATTTGCAATTTGTTTGAAAAATATATTTTTTTTATTAAATTTTTTTATATATATTCAGATTTTTTTGTCGAATTTTATTTGGCTTATTCAAACCTTTTTTTTATTTAGAATAGTAGTTAGAAAAAAAAATGGATGAACATAGTTTTGAACACATTCTTACTGCACAATTAAATGAAGAAATAGAGAAATATCGAGTGCGAGGTAAAGGAGAAATTTTATATCGAAATGAACATGGTTATGTATGGTATGAAGATGAATATGATTGGCGTAAATATGAAGATGATTATTATTCAGCTTGGTATCGCAAAGAGTTACAAAAAAAGCACTAAAAAAAGTAAAGAAAAAAAATTTGAACGAGAAGAAGTTTAATTTTTTTTTTTAATAATTTTTTTTTTAAAATTATTATATATTCTTAAATACCTATAGAGTCGTTAATTTGTTATAAATTTCGCGGTTACAAATTAAAAGAAAAGAGAAGCGCACATCAATTCACTTTTTTACAACACTTGCATTCAAAAAAATATATAATAAAAAAAAAGCATTACTTAACGGTTTTTTTTTGTTAAAACACGTTGCATTTTCTATATAGAGAATAAATTTTTAAATGTCCAGATTTTATTTTTAAATATAGTGTACCAACAAACGTTATTTTAAACAAATCTTATTTTGATTTTTTTTAAAATATATTTTTCCAAAATATTATTCAATGTTATTTTTTATTGAAAAATTCACATCATTAATATTTATCGTTTTATTTGTGCATGCCGTTGACAATACCAAGCTCGGATATATTGCGAACACAAATAACTGGTACTCCTTTTTTTAAAGTTACATTTTGAGGCCTACCTCTTTTCCACAACAAAGTCCACGTCGGAGTTATGTTGAGCGTTTTGTTTGTTTTTTAAAAAAAATTGTCTCATTTGAGTTATGTCTGAAATCTGCGTTGTTTTTCAAATGCTTTTTTTCATTTTGTTTTTTTTCAAATAACATTTTCAAATCTCTCTCGTATCTTTCTTTCCAAATTTCTTCCTCATTCTTTTTGTGCTTTTCAAAATTATTTACTATATCCATTATTTTTATATTAGCGCCTACAACAAAAAAGTAATAAATATATCATATTAAAAATCTAAGTTATATTAGTTATCTAAGTTTTTTTAACATATTTTATACCACCCATTTTAATTTTTTTGTTCCAATGATAACATCTATTTTTTAGCTACCTGCTTAACACCTCTTGACACCTCATAACGCCTATTTTCACACACACTGATTACACCAATAACATTGATTTTTTAAGCTACCTGCTTATCACTTGATTTATGTTTTTATTTTTCCCCCCCTACCCTCCCTTCCTCCTACCCTGACACCTACCTACCCCCTAACCCTCTAACCCAAGTTTACCTTTTTTTATGACTACCCCTCTTTTTATTTTTTTACTTTTTTTATGACTACCCCCTCCCCTTTTTTATAAGAAGAAAAATTTTCTTATATTTTGTACTTTTTTTATAAAAAAATACTGGTATACTCGTATCATCAGAGGTCAGCCTTTAAGAACAATTTCGTTTATGTCTGCAAATTTGGATCCTTTGGTATATCCAATATTCTTCCCGAGAGGTGATGCTGGATGGCACAATCAACTAGAGCACAACCCTGACCGTGCAACCCGTGCTAGAAACCATGTTACTTTGTCTCAGTATTATAATTATAGGCTTGCTGTTAGACAAACTTTTAGTCCTATATTCTATGGTAAGAAACTTTTTCAGCAATATGTTGTTGATGCATATGTCAAAGTTGAGGGACAGCGCCTTGTTTTTATTAGAAATAACCAAAACAAACTTAGAAGTGAGCAATATGATGCATTGCATGAACATGCAATTAATCGTGCTAATGATCTTAATCTAAGACCAGGCCGTGTTGTTATATTGCCTTCTTCATATGTTGGTAGTCCAAGAGCATTAAAAGAAAACTTTGAAGATGCGATGGCAGTCATAAAGAAATATGGTAAACCAGATCTTTTCATTACTTTTACCTGCAATCAAAAATGGAGAGAAATAGTAGAAAATATAAACCCAGGCCAAACTGCTAATGACAGACCTGATTTAGTTTGTCGGGTATTTAAAATGAAACTTACATTTTTTTTAGAGGATATTTTTAAGCATGCAGTCTTAGGCAAAGTTGTAAGTCATGTGCAGGAATTTTTGAAATTATATAATCATGCATGATACATGGACCACGTGGAATTTTAAATCCCAATTCTCCCTGCATAAAAGATGGTATATGCACACAAAAATTTCCTAAGGAATTTAATCCCCACACTGTTGCAATTTTTAATGGTTATCCACGCTATAGGCGCGTCGATAATGGAAGAATTGTCAATATAAAAGGTAATCAAGTTGACAATCGTTGGGTTGTACCTTATAACCCATGGCTTTCTAAAAAATATCAAGCGCACATAAATGTTGAAGCCTGCATGACCATAAAGTCAGTTAAGTATTTATATAAGTACATTTACAAAGGGCATGACTGTGCCAATGTGGTGATAAATGAGCAAGTTAACCATGATGAAATAGACACGTTTTTAAATTGTCGCTATGTCTCAGCTCCAGAAGCATTGTGGCGAATATTTGAGTATTCTTTAAGTGATATGTCACATAACATCATTCGACTTCAGGTTCATCTGCCAGATAATCAGATGATATATTTTGTAGAAGGCGAAGAACAGGCAGCTTTAGACCGAGCAGCACAGCGTGACACTCACCTAACTGCATGGTTTAAATTAAATGTTGAAAATGAACAAGCCCGACACTATCCATATGTTGAAATTTCTTACCACTTTGTTTGTGGTAGCAAACATTGTAAATGGAAAGTTAGGCAAAGAGGTAGCAATAAGGTGATTGTTAGGATGTATAAAGTGAGTCCAATAGGTGAAATATTTTATCTTAGAATGTTACTTTGGCATGTTAGAGGTACAGTTTCTTTTGAAGATTTGCGTACTGTTAATGGTACAGTTTTTAATACATTCCGAGAAGCATGTTCTCAATTAGGTCTGTTACAAGACGACGCTGAATGGAGAAATACATTAACTGAGGCTGCTGCAACTCATTTGCTAAATCAAATTAGACAGTTGTTTTCCATTATTTTGACTTTCTGTGAACCTGATGATCCATTAAATCTTTGGAATGCCTTTAAAGATTTTATGATGGAGGATTACATTCACCATTCCATGCCACCAATAATTGCTGAGCAGGCAACTTTGCGTCAAATTGAATCTATAATTAATCAGAACGGTAAGACTTTAGCTGATTTTAATCTTCCTACTTTAGATGAGTTTTTAGATTAGTCCCACAAAATGAAGAGGAAGATGTTCAGGTTTTAATTGATGAAGCAAATAGGGTTAGACCATTGTTAAATGATAATCAGCGTCAAATTGCTGATGCTATCCTTTCTGCTCTTTGTGAGCAACCTAACAATGAAAACAAGCAGTCTAGATTGTTTTTTATGGATGGCCCTGCAGGTTGTGGTAAAACATTTACATACAATTATTTAATCGCTGAAACCAGCAGTAGACATATTATAACTGCAACAGCTGCATGGACAGGAATAGCTGCAACTCTTTTAAAAAAAGGATGTACACTTCATGGTTTGTTCAAACTTCCTGTGCCGATTTTGGAAAATAGCACATGCAATGTAACTCCAAATTCTATACACGGAAAATTCTTAAGGCAAGTTAGCCTTTATTTACTAGATGAGGCATCCATGATACCTAAACATGCTTTAAATGCCATTGATAAGTTACTTCAAGACGTTTGCAATAGCAAGTTTCCTTTCGGTGGTAAAGTTATTCTTATGGGTGGGGATTTTAGGCAAACACTTCCGGTTGTAAAGAGAGGGCAACCAGCTGATATTGTTGAAGCCTGTATAAAATGTTCTCAACATTGGCAATATGTTCAGCAATTTTCTTTAACAGAAAATATGAGGGTTTAGGCCGAAGAAGAGGAATTCTCTCAATGGCTTTTAAAACTTGGTTGTGGAACATTACCTTTAAAAGCAGATGGTTCCTTTCGCGGGTGCATTGAGATTCCTGAGCAATGCTTGCTTGGAGAAAATGAACCTTTAGTAGACAAGATTTTTGGAGTTGCAGAAGAAGATGATTATGCTAAACGTGCCATTTTGACACCCAATAATGTTGATTCTTTAGCAATAAATGAAGAAGTTTTGGACCGTTTACCAGGTGTCGTTAAGGTTTATTTAAGTGCTGATTCTATTGAAACAGATTATCTTAACGAAATCAATAATTTTCCTGTTGAGTTTTTAAACAGTCTTACTCCATCAGGAATGCCTGTTCATTGCCTAAAGCTAAAAATTGGTGCTGTTATAATGTTACTTCGAAATTTAGTTCTAAAAGCTGGACTTTGCAATGGTACCCGATTGATAGTGCGTGCTCTACAAAATAATTACATTGATGGGCAAGTTCTAACAGGTGTTTCAGTTGGCAAGAGGGTATTTGTCCCTCGGGTTCAGTTAACACAATCTGATTCAAATTTACCTTTTACACTTAAGCGTCGTCAATTTCCTGTAAGATTAGCATACTCAATGACCATGAATAAAAGTCAACGTCAAACTTTTGACAAAAATGGTATATATCTCAAAAACCCTTGCTTTTCACATGGTCAACTCTATGTTGCATGTTCAAGAACAAGATCGTTTAATACCTTATTTTTTAAAATTGATGAACATTCATTACAAGGTATGTCATTTAATAAATGCTACACAAACAATGTTGTATTTACCAATGTACTAAATCTATAAATAATTAATTTTTTACAATTAAACTCCTCATTTCTTATAAATATTTTAACTGTAATTTAAAGTATTTTAGTGTGTTGCTTGATGCAGTAATGTGTGATATTTATTATGTGTTTAAATATGTGTTAAGGTTATATTTTGTAAGTGTTTATGTGTATGTTAATGTGTAAATGAAAGTGTTTATGTGTATGTTAATGTGTAAATGACTGTTATATGTGAAGTGTATTTTTTATGTTATCTGTTTATAGTTTGTGAGTTGTTATTATGTTGTTTTCATGGTTTCAAAGTGGTGTGACTTGGCTTTGTTTATGGCAAGAGTGTTGTCCTTGCTAGCCAAGCGGTGTACTTTGAATAATGTGACTTGGCTTTGTTTATGGCAAGAGTGCTGTCCTTGCTAGCCAAGTGATGTACAGACATGAAACACAAAATAAAATCTGTTTGTAATCACAAAATGTGTACTTATAAGTATGTTATATTTTGTAAGTATTTATGTGTAATTAATGTGTAAATGGCTGTTACATATGAAGTGTATTTTTTGTTATGTTATCTGTTTATAGTTTGTGAGTTGTTATTATGTTGTTTTCATGGTTTCAAAGTGGTGTGACTTGGCTTTGTTTATAGCAAGAGTGTTGTCCTTGCTAGCCAAGCAGTGTACTTTGAATAATGTGACTTGGCTTTGTTTATGGCAAGAGTGTTGTCCTTGCTAGCCAAGCGGCGTACTGACATGAAACACATAATAAAATCTGTTTGTAATCACAAAATGTGTACTTGCAAGTATGTTATGATGTTAGTAAATAAAGTATTTACAATAAAGTCTGGATAACTCAATAAATCAACTTAAATTAATCAAACTAATTTTAAAATTCCAGTTGAGCGATTGTTTATGGATCATACTACCAATAACTGAAATATTTTCTATTAAGCTAATTGCTTGATCCTTTGGTGGTTTAAGTTATTGAGTCTTTACTGTAAGATTTTGTGCTATTTGTTATTGATGTTTGTGATGTTACTGTTGTGATGTTTTGTGTTGATAGACGACTTGGCTTACCTTCACGTCGGTGTCTATCGTTAAAAATGATTATAGGGTTGTTTCATACTGAAACTGACTATATATAATTATTCACTAAAAGCCAAGCATTCAATTTTTATATTAAACTGTAAGGGTTTATCTTTTTTTGATTATTTTTAGTGTGCTTTTTTTTGAAAAGAGTTTATAATCGAAACTTGCAACAAAAAATCTCGAAACCTTTACACAAAACCTATTCACACAAAAAAAAAACAATCTCAAAGTAAGTTTCTTATTTGATATCGCCTTGGTCACACTTTTGAGTTTTTAAATAAAAGAGTACATTAATGTGTTATGTTTTCAATAATTTTGTTTTATTTTAGTTCAAATGCCTTCTCTTAATGTTGATCGTTTTTTAACATCCAAAGGGAAGTTTTGTTAATCTTTATACCTTTTACTAAAAGATATATTATAGGGAAACAATTAAAATTGATTTTATAAAGTACTTCTGATACTTTTTATGTTATATATAATAGATATTGTAAAATTAAAAAAAAAAAAAATTATTTTTTTAATTTTATCTCAAGAAAAATGTTTTTTGTTTCTCACACAAATAAGTAAATTTTTTCTCTTTGGAATTATAGTATTTGATGGATACATTGCTCATTATGCTTTTTTTATATATATCTCCGTTATATATGAATGGAAACCGTTAATACTTTTATTACCATGGTAATTACAGATCTAGATAGTTCCATTCCCATTAAGTATTTTACAAATTTTTGGTACAAATAATAGCTATAGTAGTTTAATAATTTGCTAATTTAAAAACATTTAGAAAAATTTGTTGAGAGTTTATTGTAGAAAACTTGCTTTTCAAACAAATAGAGCTAATTTTTGACATAATTAGGATTCGTCACCTGATTCTTTGTCAAATACTTCTCCTTCTTAAATAGGAAAGGTTAAATTTTATAAAAAAGTTTACCAAAACACCGGGAGAAATGTCACGTAATTGGTAACTATGCTAAATACACTTTTGTTAGGTCCACGTAATTTTCGAATCTGCTCATCACTACGTTAGTTGGCGTTATTTCTTTAAAATACCTTAAAAATCTTCAATTCAAAGTTTTTGTTTCGAATCATCAAAATATTGGCATATGATATAAATATACGATTCTAATAAACCAAAAGTATGTGGAAAAATTGCGCATACTTAGGCATCATAAAAACTTAATTCACACCAACCATTTACTTCGATATTTTTTAGTGTATGGCAGAAAAATAAATTACGAATTGTTTTAGATAAATAAAGTTACCGGATCTTTATTACTTAATCCATAAACAATTATTGTTTCATTCGATTTAACACCACAATAAAAAACAAAGCTTTTTCTATTAATTTTCGAAAAACGTTTTACTGGAAACCGAGTTCTTTTGTAGCATTTTAGTTAGAGTTATAGAAAAATCTATAACTCTTATTTTGTTAAGTAAGAAAAAAAATCTTATGCTCTTCTAATTTTAGTCACCAATAACAACTATGTTAGGAATAGTAGAAAATGTTATGTGTGGTAGAGAAACTGTTTTAGTGTGGTGTTGTAGGAGTACTGCGGGTCTAAGAAACTTTGTTTTCATCGATAA